AGCCAAAATTTTTCTCTGATAAGCAGGAGGGAGGATAGGAAAAATGAAGGAACTTTGGTTTGTGTAGAGGGGAACGAGGGGAGGGATGGGATTGTGGGGATGGGTAGAAAGAGATAGACATTATTACCCTATTTACATGTATGATTTCACTACTGGAGTGACTCTGAACCATGTACAGCCAGAGGAATGAGAAGTTGTGTGCTCCACTTGTGAACTATATGTCAAAATGCATTCTACTATAAAATAAACAAACAAAAACCCCATTTTCAATATTGTTTTAAATAGCAAGCATTTAGGAAGAAAAATAATGCAAATATGCCTTCCTGTGGCAGAACAGGAAGCTGGCAATATAATAAATATGAACAGAGAAAATGCTTTATTTGCATTATAGAAAAGTAGGGTGTGTTTGATTTTAATCTATATAGAATTTCCATTTTGGTTATGCTTACAAAGTGAGTATTTTTGCTTTTTTATGTAAGAAGATGTGAAAATTGATAACTCTCAGGAAAACAAAGAAGCTTTGAGCAAATGAGAATAAAAACAACATACAAAGTTCTAAGTGATTAGAAATAACTAAATTTCCACTGACAAAACTTAAAACTATAAACTACATTTATTATAGATAAAGTTCTGTTCTGAGAGAAAACCTTAGCATCTATTTTTTTTCCTAAGAACAAGAAGTAGAAGAAGAACACACCATTCAAAGCTGAGTAAGAATAAAGAAGGCCATTTATTATGATAAAGAGGTTCATTCATCAAGAGGACATAACAATTGAAAATAATAAGTGCCCAACATGAGAACACTTAAAAACATAAAGCATAAGAGAACTGAAGGGAGACATACTGCAGCACAAAAAAATGTTGAGGATTTTAATACCCTATTAATGACAATAGACAGATCATACAAACAAAATTAATAAGGAAACACTGGACTTGAACTATACTTTAGACCAAATGGACCTAATAGACATATATAGAATATTCCATCTAATATCTACAGAATAGATATTCTTAAGTGCACACAGAAATCTGCCCAGGCTAAATCTTAAACCACAGAATAAGTTTAAACAAATTTAAGAAGATTGAAATCATATCACATATTTTTCCATCCACCATGGCATGTAACTAGGAATCCATAATAGGAGAAATCAAGGAAAGTTAACAAATATGTGTAACTTAGATAATAGACTCCTGACAACTCTTAAATAAAAGAAGACATTAAAATGGCAATGTAAAGTTATTTAGAGATGAATGAAAATGGAAACACAGCATACCAAAACTTATGGGTTACAGCAAAAATAGTCATAAAAAGGAAGTTTATAGCACTAAATGCCTACATAAAAACAGGAGGAAAGTCTCAAGCAAACATTTTACCCAAAGAATTAGTAAAAGAAGAATAAACAGGCTCAAAATCAGCAGAAGGAAAGAAATAACAAAGATCAGAGTAGAAGTTAATGAAATAGATAAACACCAAAGAAAATTAAACTAAGTTTTTTTTTTTAATGAAAATAAAATTGACAAGCCCCTAGCTAGACCACGATAAAAAGATAGAAGACCAAACAGGCAAAATCGGAAATGAAAGAGGAGATATTACAACTTACAAATAAGAAAGATCATAAGAGCCTACTATGAACAATGTCTATATACACAAACCAATTGAACAATGTAGGAGAAATGGATAAATTCCACGAAACATTTAACCAAGAATGAATTATGAAGAAATCAGAAATCTGAGCAGAGTGATAATGAGAAAGAAAACTGAATCAGTATTTAATAGTCTTCCATCAAGGAAAAGCTCAGGACCAGATGGCTTCACAGATAAAATTTTCCAATTGTTTGAAAAAGAACCAATCTTTCTCAAACTCTTCCAAAAAATTGAAGAGGAAGGAATACTTCCAAATTCATTTTTTTAAATAATTTTATTTTATTGATTTCTATGTGATGCTGAGGATCAAACCCAGGCCCCTGTACATACTAGGCAAGCGCTCCACCACTGAATCACAACCCCAGTTCCTTCCAAACTCATTTTTACAAGGATAAGGATAGCTTTACTGTGATACCAGAACCAAACAAAGACACAACCAGAAAAGGAAAGTTGAGACTAGTATCACTGCTGAGCATAGATTTAAAATCCTCAACAAAATACTAGCCACAATACATTAAAAGAATCATTCACCATGACCAAATAGGATTTATCCCTACAATGCAAGGATGGTTCAACATATGCGAATCAATGAACATGATTCACCACAGTAACAGAATGAAAGCCAAAAACATGATCATCTCAATGGTAGCAGAAAAAAGTATTTCACAAATTATCATCCCTCATTTGTAAAAATTCTCAACAAATTAGGTACAGAAGGAATGTTCCTCAACACAATAAAATCTACATATGACAAAACCATTACTAACATACTCCAGAGTGAAAAGTCAAAAACTTCTCCTCTATGATCAGATACAAGACAACAATACTCACTAGCACCATTTCTTTTCACCATTATATTGGAAATCCCAGCCAGGATAATTAGTCAATAAAAAGAAATAAAAGGCATTTGAATAGGAAAGGAAAGAAGCGAAATCACCTCAGTTTTCTAAACACATGATTTTATATGCAGAAAACCCTAACAACCCCATCAAATGGCTGTTAGAACAGATAAATAAATTCAGTAGGTTGCAGGACATAATATCAACTTACAAAAATCAATCACAATTCTATAACTAACCACATACTATCTTAAAAAGAAATTTAAAAAGCAATCCTATTTGTAACAGAATGAAAAAAAAAAACATTTAAGAGAAAATTTAACCAAGGAAGTGAAGATCTATATGCTGAAAAATATAAAACATTAATGAAAGAAACTGAAGAAGACACAAGTAAATGAAGAGGCATCCCATGTTTATCTTTTGGAAGAATTAATATTGTTAAAACATTCATGCCTCCCAAAGCAATGTAAAGATTAAGTGCAATTCCCATCAACATATCAATGACATTCTTCACAGAACTAGAAAAAAAAATTCTGTAACACTTATGGAACCACAAAAGATCCTAATTTAACAAAGTAATCTTGAGCAAAAAGGCCAACTGGATTTTTAAATATATTACAAAACCATAGTTAAAGAAAAAAAGAGAGAGAGAAAAGAACCAGGGGGACATTGATTCGGGCAGAGAGTCCTTGGGTAAGACCCTAAAAGCACAAGATAATGAATGCAAAAATAGACAAATGGGACTCTATCAAATCAAAACTTATGCACAGAAATGAAACAATTAATAGAGTAAGGAGACAACCAACAGTCAGGGAGAAATTATTTGCAAATCATACATCAAGGCTGATACCATAATCATAAAGGCCTAATATCTAAAACATACAAAGAACTCAAATTAATGACAGGAAAAAAATAATCCTATAAAAATAGACAAACAACCTGAATAGACATTTCTCCAAGAAGTCATACAAATTATCAACAGATACATGGAAGAATGTTCAACATC